TGACCTCCCCATGCTCATTCTCACCAGCGGGGCGCGGCCGCGGGGGGAGGTACCTGGCCTTCGCCTCCTACACAGGCGGGTCCTACTGTGATGCTTTAAGAAGGATGGCCTGCTGTTTTCATTCCGTTTCCGTCATTTTTAAGAATGCCCTGTGGAAAGCCTAGCGGGGCCGGCGTCCTGCCAGGTGCCGGCTGTGGGGATGGGAGCAGGTCTGCGTCCCTCCGGAAGTGCCCGCCTGCTGAACAGGGCGGCACCCGCGGGCGTGCGGGGCAGGAGGGGCAGGTCTCTGAACTTGCAGAGCCACAGTCAGAGGGATGACTAAGCTTGGTGGATGCCTCGCCCGCGCCGGGAGCTGCTCACAGCCCTTCACGCGTGTGGTTTCATGTCATCATGACCATCTGCCTGGGAGGCAGGAGTGAGTACTGTGACCCCATCCTACAGATGCGGAGACTGAGGCTGGAGGGTCCGGGAGAACCAACCAGGACCTGCCGGCAGCCTGGCCACAGTGGTTTTGGCAGCCCCTCGGGCCCCCCAACTCCCCAGCCCGTCCCTGAGACCTGCTCTCACCTCTCCGTGTCCTTGCTGAACTGGCCTTTCCCCACGTCGTTGACGGCGCAGAGGCGGAACTGGTAGGAGCGTGCGGGGACCAAGCCCTTGACCACCACCGAGGTAGCCTCAGGGTCCACACTGGCCAGGAGCACGGCCCAGGGGGCGTCTGCAGGGACAGAGGGTGGAGGAGAGGTGGGCATCTTGGGGGGCCGTGCCTCTTTCCCCTGTTCCCAGCAGGGCCCAGCCTCTTTTGGGCTAGCAGAGGCGTGTCACCCCCTCGGTCCAGTAGAGGCCGGACAGGTCCCTTTTTGCTCCCTTGGCTGGGAGCGGGGAAGAGGGAGAGATTCTTTGGTCCCTTGGCTGGGTGGGGGGAGGTGGGATTTGATTTTTCTTCTCTTGGCTGGGTGTGGGGAGGTGGGAGGGATTTTTGGTCCCTTGGCTGGGTGGGGGGAGGAGTGAGGGAGGGAGTTGGAGGCCGCTGGGAGGAAGCAGCGCTCATGGGAACTGAGATGCATCCATCTTTTCCATCTTTCCCCCCCCCTCAGATCGATGAGCTCTGGGCACACTTATTTAAAACGCATTTAAATTATGCATGCTAATTCTGGAGTCCACAGCGAGGAGGAGAAAAAGAGAAAGAATCGCCACCGTTTTGGAGGCTCCTGGTGCGGCAGGCCTTGTGAGTATCTTGTTCAATTGTCACAATGACCCCAGGGAGCCGACTTGGTCATGTGACAGCCGAGGTGGCTGAGGCTCCAGAGGGAAGGGTCCGCCCCAAGGCAGAGGCCCGGGAAGTGGGCGCTGGAACCCGATGGCTGAGCCTGCCCGCCCTGGCTGCGGTGCGGAGAGAGCCTTACTGTTCTCCGACATCTCCAGGACGTAGCGGATCAGGGGACTGTTGCCGTCGAAGGGCTTGGCCCAGGTCAGGTTGATGGCCCGCCTCTCGGAGGTGCTCAGCGTGGCCACTGGGTGCTCGGGCGCGTGAGGCAGCTGCCTGGAGGAGAGAGATGTGGCGGGGCCACTGGTGAGGTCTACAGTCAGGTGACACGCGGGCGGCCGGGACTTGGATAGAACTCCCGATACCTCGTGCTCGGCCACGAAACGTGGCCTTTGGGCTATCAACCTTCAGAGTCTCCTCTGGGGCCCGGAGCCCACCTGTCCAAAGCCAGACCCAGAATCCCCTGCTCTTGCAGGGGGCCCAGCCTGGAAGGATGCTTGGGCGTGTCCTGTGAGAAGGGCTGTGGTCCCAGGCCACCTGGTGGCCTGCCAAAAGGAGCCTTCTCGGTGCTCTGACACCTCTGGGCTCGGGGCCTGGGCGGGTGGCCCTACCTGACCCGCAGGTGGGCGCTGCGCGAGTCGTTGCCTCCGGCGGAGAGCACCCGGCAGGTGTAGGTGCCGATGTCCCCCGACCACGTCTGGGTGATGTGCAGGGAGCCGTTCTTGTCCAGGCGGACACGGGGGTTGTTCTCCACGCCCAGGGCGGCCCCGTCCTTCTCCCACACGTACCTAAGAGAGAGAAGAACCAATAGGTACAGAGACTTAGAGAAGGACTGGCCGGCGTGGCTCAGTGGTTGAGCGTTGACCTAGGAAC